TATTTTATACATAAAATAATATAGAAAATTATGTAATTTAGCTAGTTTAGAATTAAGTAAAAACTCACTTAGTAGCATGCCAAAGGAATTTTGTGATCTAGTTAATTTAAGGCAATTGGATATTAGTTATAATAAAATTATGGATTTACCAGAAGATATTTATATGCTAGCTAATTTAACTGTAAGAATATAATATCATAATATATGTCATAATAGATTTATAATTAAATTATTAAAATTTGTAAATTAGTCGTCAATCTTAATGAATATTAATAATTTAAAATTAAAATAATAATTATTAGTTATTTAATACAAAGGATAATGTATGGAAACCAGATATTCAACCTATTGTTACAGCAGGCCTTCAAAGTATTATGAATCATTACAAACAACAAGCTATTAAAAAAGGAAAGGTAATATTAATTTTTTTTTTAATATTTTATTATATAAATTTTATAAATAGAATGTATTAATATATTATAAAAAAAATCTAACTAAACAACTATATATATATATAATAAAAAATAATAAATAGAAAATTAAGAATTAAGCATTAAAATAAATATTAAGGACAAATAAATAATCATAAGAAAGACTATATACCATAATACTGCTATTATAAATTATTATAACAATTTTTATATTATAATATATCTTTTATTTTAAATAAATAAATAAATAAATAATATCTAATATTAAATAAAAATAAAAGTATATTTTTTTTTAAAAAAAAAAAAAAAAAAAAAAAGAAACAAATAATATATCAGTATTAGATAAATTATTTAAAAAAATGTTCATAGTAATTATTAAATTATTAAAATGAAAATTATATATAAATCCAACATTTCTAATTATTATTATTATTATTATTATTATTATTATTATTATTATTATTATTATTATTATTATTATTATTATTATTATTACTTTTTAATTATTTTTACCTGCCCTTTCTTATATTTTTAATTGTTTATTTGATTATTAAAATAATAATTAAATAAACATATATTTATTAAAAAAAATTTTTTTATCCACAATTCAATTAAATAATAGAATTATGAATAATTTATAATTTTTATATAATATATTATATTCAATAAAATATACTATTTAATAGATTAATTAAATGATTTTTAATGATTTAATAATTTTATAATTATTTTATTTATATTTTTTAATGTTTTAAAATATGTTGATTTCAAATTTACTATTTATCTTGCTATTAATAGTATTACTATTATTAATTATTAAATATTTATTAATACAATAATTATTCTTCATAGACTATTGTTAATTATAATTATAATATGAAAGTATAAATCATAAATTCTGAAATATCATTATTGATGTTTTTATTATAAATAATTATTACTACTTTTATTTATTATGAAAATATACCAGGTATTATTAGTTATTTTTTTCTAGGTAATTTTAGTATAGATATTTGTTAAAATAATTAACTTTAAAGTTTAATTATTTTCTTTCTTTTTTTTTTTTTTTTTTTTTTCATAGTCAAACTATTTTAAATGACTTTTAAATTTTAATGTAAATATAATATGAACATATTATATTAAATAATAAATTTACATAATTAATAATTTAATAAAAACTGAAAATTTGATGAAATTTTACTATTAAAAAAAAAATAAAAAATAAAAAAAAAAAAAAAAAAAAAAGGATTTCGCTAGATTGAATTATATTTAATTATCTATCTGTCTGTTTATTTTATCTATCTACAAATTTCCATATTATATCAAAATATTATGATAAATATACTATAAAAATCTTGCATAAATAAGCAAATAAATATGTACTACATGATTTTTACATATAAATTTGTTTTATTCTTTATAGTTTTTATAAGTTTTATTTTTTATTTATATTTAAATAAACATTTATCAATGTTAGATAAAAGCATTTTTATTGATTTTAAAAAATGGCTTTTTTTTTTCTTTTTTTAATTAATTCATTATAATTAATAAAAATTTTATTTATTTTTGCCTGAATTATAATAAATCTAATGGATATTTATATAAAAAAAAATCAATTTGTATTGTAAATAAATAAATAAATAAATAAATCAGTAAATAAATTAATAGATAAATAAATATGTAAATAAATAAATATGTAAATAAATAAATATGTAAATAAATAAATGGAAAAATAAATAAATAAAAAGAACCATTATTTTATTTTATATATTTATTTTAAATATATTTTATTATAATGATATATTATTTATTTTAAATAAAAAATTAAAAATTAAAACTTTTTAATTTCTGATAAATAATATTTCCGAAATTTATAATTCCTTTTATAGAAATTTTTAAAACTCTTTAATAATATTTAATCTATTTAATTATAAAATTTATTAATATTTTTATTTCAAAAAATGTTTCGAATACATTTTAATATATATTAATTATATTTAAAATTATACTATTCTAATTAAAAAAAATAATAATAAAAATAAAAGAATATTAATACTATCGATTTTTATAGTATTAAAAAAAGAACTAATAAATGCTAAAATATAATGATTTCATATATCTAATATAAAATATTAAATATATTAATATATGTCAATCGTAAAGAAATTTGTATTAACTAATAAATTAATAATTGTTTATTGTTCCCATGCCCCTCATCCTATAAAATTATTTCAAATGATATTAATTAATTATTACAATTTAATAATAATTAAAATTTATACATATTAAAGTATATTTATAATATGTTCTATTAAAATTAATATTGAATCATTAATTTGAAATATATGGAATATTGAACTGTATTAATATTTATATATATTATCTATTAATTGAAATTATATTGTTTCGATATTTCAGAATTATGTTTATATTTTAAAATTTTTAAAATTAATTATTATAGTAAAAATTAATTCTAATATCAAATAATTTAATATATTTTGAATAATATTTGATATACTTAACAAATATATAGTTTTTATATCTTTAATAACATTTTTTATTCATTTATTTATTTTAAAAATTTATAGTAAATTTTTAATATATAAATATATACTACTAATAAAATATTTGATAATAAATATATATTTATAAAAAAATTTTACAGATGTTTTATAAAAATTTAATTATTTAAAATTTTATATAAAGAAAAAGAAAATACTTCATTTTATAATATTATTTTTATTTTTTTTTCATAAATTTCATTTTCTTAAAGGAAAAAGATATTTAAAGTTTATCAGCAAACCTTTATTTCATAAAATATTAAAATATTTTTTAAAAGTTAATTAAATAATTATATAAAAATAAATAAAAAGGTATTTAGTGAAAAAAATTATAAATTTGAATGTAATAATAATTATAATAAATAATTTAAAAAAATATATTTATATTTATTGTTATTTTTTTTAAAAACAAAAATATAAATAAAAACAAACAAATAATAAATATATATATATATATAAATAAATTAATAAAAGTATTAAAATAGAATTTATAGTAAATTAAAAGAAACAAAACCAAAAAAATAAAAATAAAAATAATAATAATAATAATAATAATAAAAAGAAAAGAATGAATTTCAATAATCAAGAATTTAGTATGGACAATCTTCATGAAATGTTCATGGCAATGCATATGTCCGACAATAGTTCTTCTCCAATCCAAATACCTTCTTCTAATTCACCATTTAGTATTTCAAATTTCTCAAATAGTTCCCCAACTAATAGTAACTGCAGTAATAGTCCGATGAATAATACTATTCAACAACAAAGTCAAAATGTTTATCAAGAAGCTGTAAATAGACCTGAAGATGTTCATATGGGTGAAAATGGTTTAACCGCTTACGAAGAACAAATGCTTTTTTTACAAATGCAAGACCAACTTTATCAACAAATTGAAGATGAAAGACTTAGATTACAACAAATGTAAATTAATATACTTTCTAAATAACTTTTTATATCTTAATACATTTATTTTAAAATACATTGCTTTCTGGAAGTAAATATTTATATAAAAATTGATATATCTTTTTTTTTTCATATATAAATTTTTAAAGTTTAAATAGATTTAATTATTAGATTAATTAATTTTTTTTTTAAACAAAGCAATAATATTATATCTTATCATTAAACTTTTTTAACATAATAATACCCTCTTTTTTTAATATAGTTTTTTTTAAACGTACTTTAAAAATTTTAAATATTTTTCTGTAGATTGACATTTTTATTTTAAAATAATTTTTTTGTTTTTCAATAAAATCATAATTTCATTAATAATAAATTTTTATTTTTAAAAGTTTAAAATATAAATTAAGTATATAATTATAAAAATGAATATGATATATTAAAAAAATACTTATTATCGAATAAATGAAGAATTATACTTAAAATGAATATACATGTTCAGACATATATGTATAATATATATTTAAATATATATATATATATATATATTTTTTTTTTTTTTTTTTATTTTTAAATTTTAAAATTATAAAAATGGAATTTTCCAAGATGGTTTAAGATAATTTTAAAAAAAAAATAAAAATAAAATTTCAATAACTTTAAAAATAATAAAATTACAGTATATATTATGTTTTTTTTTAATGAATATATTATTTAATTGTTAATTATATATAAAGTTTATAATGAAATTTATAATTTTATTTTTAATATTTTATATATATATTTAAAATTTTTTTTTAAAATACATCTAATTTAATTTCGTGTGACATCACATTTTACAACCATAAATTTATATTAATTTTCCTTTTTTATTATATGTTTATATATATATATATTTATTTTTTTTTGGAGAAAGTAAATTTTTTTTTTTTTGTATTAAAAAATATTTTTTTATATCTTAATGTTTGCTATTTTTTAAAAGTATTGCTGTATTGCTAACATTGGTTATACATATTTAATTTGAATAAGTAAAAAAATAAAATATAAAATAAGAGATATGGAAAAAAAATTAAAGTTTATTTGCAATAATACATTTAAAATTAAAAAAATACATGCCAAACGGGACTCGAACCCGCAATCTTCAGATCCGAAGTCTGACGCCTTATCCATTAGGCCACTGGCACCCCGGTTCTGACAGAATTTGGCTAAATTTAATTGGTAAATGTTTCTGTGTTACCTTCCATAAAAAATTTGTTAAGATAATAACTGAATTTCAATTCAATTTCAATTTCAATAATTCAGTTATTTGAATTTCAATATTAATAATTAATAATATAATAATTATTTTTAAAATATTTAGGAAATAGTCTAGGCCAACTAATTGACTAAATATTTTAAAAATAATTATTAAATATTTAATAATTAATATTAAATATCCAAATATTTGTTTTATATCAATTTATATTATGTTTTAATATATGTTTACAACATATCTATATTAATTTCAATTATTCAAATTAATTATATAATTAAATTTATCTTTATATTTTTATTAAAATTTATATTATTATATTATTATATTATTAATATAACTTTCAAAGTATAAAAGAAAGATGTAAAAATCTATCTTTTATGTTCTTTGTAAGATTATTGTAGAATTACCTTAATAGTAATATATTATAGATATTTCATTATTAAAGAAAATAAATTATTTTAAAATCAAATTAATTTAATAATTCTAATTATCAAAGTTTATTATAAATAAATTTTTATTAAACTAAACCATTTAAATATTTATTATTATTATTATTATATATCTATTTAGCATATTACTATATAGACATATTGACTTAGTAAAATTTTAATAAAAAATATTATTTTATTTAAATTTAAACATAAAATATATCAAAATCTTAACAAAATTTCTCGCCAATGTTTTTTTTTTTTTTTTTTCTACTTCCGGTGTGTACTACCCTTATTTTAAGCCCCCCCTCAAGAATAAAGGTATATATGATATAAAACAAATATGTTTAGTAACATATTTGTATATTTAATAATAATTATAAAATATTAAATTTATATCTTTTTGATAATAATTATTTTATTTTATTTTATTTCAATATGTATTATTATAATTATAATAATTATAATACTTTAATTCATATAAAATTAATATAATTCTATATATTAAAATATATAATTAATATATTTCCTATTTCTTGTAAATAGATTAAATTATTTATATTAGAAATAGGGGACTCTAGTAAATTTTAGGAATTAGAATTATTATTTTAATTGTAATACGAATATTATAATTTTAATAGTAAATTTTACTAAACAACCATTATTAAAAAAACCCACTGCTTATAAATTACTGCGCATAAAAATCCCGCATATCATTAAGATAATCACAAGACTTCTGTATGCTTTCTTATAGGCAGATATTGTCCCATCTGGATGCCCTTACTGAGTATTCAGCATTGGCTAGATGCTCTGACAAGGCCAGTATAACCTAACCCAGTGAGATACATGCTAACACCCTTAGCATTTGCATATTAGTAGGAAAGATTGTTTTCTAGTAGAATATATCTACATTAGTGGATTTAAAATTGAGATTCACTAATAGATGAATTGAAATTAAAATTTGTTATAGACAATTTCATTTAAAATTTGATTTTTAATTATCAGAAACAAAAGGGTTTGGACCATTTTAATAAAGTTAATTCAATTTAATTTAACCCTTAATAAATCAATAAAAATAGATCTCAGAAAAAAGAAGATAGCTTCACAAATAATAAAAATTTCCTGCTGAATTCGTAACTGAAATTACATTCATTAGGAAGCTTTGCTTAAAATCTACACTAAATATTAATTTCAGCCTATTTAGACCACTAGAACCCGAGATATTAGATTTTAAATAATTTTAGATATATAAAAAAAGCTTAATTATTTAAATAGGCCAGTAAATAATATTTTATATGGATAAAATCTTTAACTAGATCTTTATATTACTAATCATTATAAATTGAATTATTAATTAAATTATAAAGAATTAATAATTAATAATAATTTAAAATATTTTAATTGATTTAATAGTTTTAGATAAATTATTATAATAATTATTAATAATTAGATAACTAAATAATTTCTAAAAGATTCTAAGGAATTCCTTAAAATTGTAAAGATTTTTAAAATACTTATTTAATGGTTTTAAGATCTAATTATTTTATTATTAAATCTATTAAATATTTATTTATTGTTTTATTATTAAATCTATTAAATATCTATTTATTATTTTATTATTAAATCCATTAAATATCTATTAAAAATACGCAATTTATAATGCAATTAAGATGTAATTAATTCAGTTATATTTAATTAACTAATTAGATTAGTATTAGAAATTTTGTTAAGATTATAAATATTTATTCTATTAATAATTATAAAGCTATTTTATTAAACTATTCATATTAATATTATATTATTATTATATTTGTATAGTTAAAATACATGTATATATACATATATATATATGTTAAGTTTAATTGTATTAATTATTTATATTTTTAATTATTATTTTAAAATTAGTATAAAAAGGAATTGAAATTTTCAAATTCTTTAATCTTTGTATGATTATTAACCTAATATAACTTATTAAATTAATTATATAGATAGCATTAATTCTTAGTATTAATCTTAATATAATTTATTATTAAAATATTAAATAAAAGATTTTAAAAAAATTTGATTATTAATTATTGAATTTCTTAATTTATAAAATTTTGTGTGTGTGATAATTATTTTAATTTTAATTAATTGTTATTGTTAATAACATACCTTACCTGAACAATATAACTCAAATCAAACCAAAAACTTTAACGAAATATATTAAAATTTTGTGTCATTTTGGCCTTAATGATGCCATTCATAGAAATATTAAATTTTATTATTTAAATTATAGTATTATTTAAAATATTTTGGTTATTATTAAAATATTTTATAAAGCTTTATTATAAATAATTAATTATTTTTATATAAATAAAATATAAAAATCTAATATAATATTAGGTAGTATAAAATATTATTTAATTAAAAAATAAATGTTAATTGAATAATATATTATTTAATAATAAATATTTAATAATAAAGTAATAATTTAATATTACCAATCCAAAATGTTGAGTGAACACACTATTAATTGTTTAAAATTGATTTTAATAGGTTAACTTTAATTAACAATATTTACAAATTTGTTGACTAGTTTATAATTTTAAAATATATAATTAAAACTTAATATTATTTGTTATATTATTATATAATTGAAATAGTTTCAGATAAATTATTGAAATTATTGAATTTGGAATGCAATTCATTTATTATTTCAATAAAATCTATAATAATGAATGTTTTAATAGTTATTTAGTTTATAGACTTTACCATATAGAATATTATTATAGACATATTGACTTAGTAATGTTTTATAGTTTTTTAATTTATTAAAACAAATACAACCATTATTTTGACAAAATAATAATGTCTTCCATCAAATTTTCGTAGTATATAGAAAAAAAAATCATATAAAAGCTTTTATAAAATAGTATAAATTTAAAATTGTACCGCTTGAAATTAATAATAATAAAAAAGGAAAAAAGAGGAATGGCAAAATAATTTTTAATGAATCATAATCAAATTTAAAATTTGAAAAATAATTATAAAATAAATGAATAAAAAATTAAAATATAAATATAATAATGGTAATTATAATGATGTTAATATTGTAAATTACCATCATTTTTATTAAGATTAGTGACAAAAGTAATATTAAAAATGAAGGGAAAAAAAGACGATTTGGAATTAATTTTGACTATATTTGGTAATGAACTTATTTTTTATAATAGAATATCATTCCATTTTATATATTTATAAATTTTATAAAAAAAAAGAAGTGATTTTTCTAAAACAAAAAACAAAAAATAATAATAAAAAAAGAACAGAAAATTGATTTGTTGTTATTAATTTTTATTATCAATTTTTTTAATTATTTTTATTTTTTTTTATTTTTTAGTGATTTATTATTATGATAATATTTATTATTAAATTAGCATATAATAGATTATAATTAATAAAATAAATAAATGAATGAATTACTTTTAAAAAACAATAAATAGTTAAAAGATTAATAAATAGATAAATTAAAATAATTAATAGATAAATTAAAATAATAAATAAAAATATTATTAAATTGTGATTTCATAAATGATAATTTAAATAAAATTAAAAAAGAACTTTACACTTTTTGCAAATGACTTTTTTTCCACTCTTTTTATTTTGTAAAGATGTAAATTTATCAAAGTATTTGGTAAGATCTTCATCATAAAGAGTAAAACTATCAAAATCTGGATAAGTGTGATCTGCAAGCATCCAAACCATAATACCATTATTATCATTCTCCATCATACTTTCTAAAAGTGCTGGAAATTCTTTATCACGATTCTTTACAAATAGTCCAAATTCTTCCATAATAATTGGTTTGTTTAATTGCTTCTTAGCTACTTCGGCATGGGAAACAATATATTGAATTCCATCTTCTACTAAATCTTTAAAGTTCCAATAATTTGGATACAGATGAATGGTTGCAAAATCAATATTTTTAAGAGCTGCATTCTTTCTGAAATCGTTACCATCATCTAAGAAATATATATCATTGTCTGATTCAACTTTTGGTAAACCAAAACCTTCTTCACCTGTAGAAACCATATGATTTGGATCAAGATATTTAATATAAGTAGACATTTCATCAAGCCATTTAGTAAGAATAGTAGTATCATATGGTTTTTGATTTTGGAAACCATTACCCCATGCTCTTAATTCATTTCCTAATTCCCAAGCAAAGATAGTACCATCATTTATATACTTTTTACCAGTGATAGTATTAGTACGATTAATAAGAGTCTTAATATATTTCTTGAAAGATTTTTTAATCTCAGGAACTGTAAAGAAAGCATCATGAGTATCATATCCGAAATCTCTTACCCATTGTTCTAAACCTCCAAAATCAACCCAATTATTTGTTAAAGTTAAAATTAAACGAATTCCATGCTTTTCAGCAATCGAAATAACTTCATCTATTCTTTGAAGACCATTGACACCTTCATTTACTTCAATTTCACGAGTGACATTATTA